AGCTAAGAATTCCTGCAAGGGTGCAAGAAGTGGTGTACAGATTCCTTATGGGTACATTGGCATCAAAAGAGGTGTTGAGGCAGAATGGATATGTGAGCGAGGCATCATGTGCACAATGTGGTGACGTGGAAACTGCCTTCCATGTGGTGTATTTTTGTCCTTTTTTGGAAAATGTAAGGGTGTGGTTAAGGGGTGTTTTTGGGTTACTGGGGGGGAGGGGGGTCCTAAGGGCTTTACTTTTAGACGTGGGAGGAGTGTCTCGTGAGGTAGCGAGGGCGTTAAGGTATATAATGGTTGATTTTTTGTACCTTTCTTGGGGAATGAGGGAGGTGGGGGGTAATGTCAGAATCGAGGCTTTAGCGGGCAGATTTTACAGGTCGGTGGGTAGGAATAGGAGCTTATATGGGGGCCAGTGGGTTACTCTTTTTCCGGAGAGTTATCGGGGATTGAAGGTCGCACGACTGCTACGGTTGGTGCCCGGGAAGGACGGCAAGGGGTTGGCTTCCAGAGGTGAGTGATGAGTAATTGGGGACAAATGTAGTAAGGAAGTGCGGTGATGGTGGCTGCTACAGTGGTGTATGTGAGAGAACATTTGCATCATGTTCCTAAGATGAGGACGAAGCCAGTTGTCCTCGAGACCAGACGTTTGTATTCCTTCATAGTTCACAGGGGGTTTCAGTATGAAAAGATATTATAAACGTTGCATGGCACAGGAACCCAAGGTATAGCTTCTGTCGATCGACAGTCTTTCCTGGGTGAATGGTTCTGGGTTTTGGCAATGGTCAATCTATTCTCTTTCACCGATCCATGTTTTAACATGGGAGCTTTCGTGTGTGTGTGTGTGTGTGTGTGTATAGGTGTGTGTGTGTGTATAGGTTGTGTGTGTGTATTAGGTGTGGTGGTGTATGTGTGTGTGTGTATAGGTGTGTGTGTGTGTATAGGTGTGTGTGTGTGTATAGGTGTGTGTGTGTGTATAGGTGTGTGTGTGTGTATAGGTGTGTGTGTGTGTATGGGTGTGTGTGTATAGTGTGTGTGTGTGTGTGTATAGGTGTGTGTGTATAGGTGTGTGTGTATAGGTGTGTGTGTATAGGTGTGTATAGGTGTGTGTGTGTGTGTGTTGTGTGTGTGTGTGTGTATAGGTGTGTTAGGTGTGTATAGGTGTGTGTGTAGGTGTGTGTGTAGTGTGTGTGTGTATAGGTGTGTGTGTATAGGTGTGTGTGTAGTGTGTAGGTGTGTGTGTATAGGTGTGTGTGTATAGGTGTGTTATGTGTGTTATTGGTGTGTGTGTGTTGGTGTGTGTGTATAGGTGTGTGTGTGTGTGTGTATAGGTGTGTGTGTGTGTGTATAGGTGTGTGTGTGTGTGTGTATAGGTGTGTGTGTGTGTATAGGTGTGTGTGTGTGTATAGGTGTGTTGTGTGTTAGGTGTGTGTGTGTTGTGTGTGTGTTATAGGTGTGTGTGTGTGTGTGTGTGTATAGGTGTGTGTGTGTGTGTGTGTGTGTGTGTGTGTGTGTGTATGAGGTGTGTGTGTGTGTGTGTGTGTGTATAGGTGTGTGTATAGGTGTGTGTGTGTGTGTGTGTGTGTAGGTGTGTGTGTGTGTGTGTGCATAGGTGTGTGTGTGTGTGTGTGTGTATAGGTGTACTCACCTAGTTGTACTCACCTAGTTGAGGTTGCGGGGGTCGAGTCCGAGCTCCTGGCCCCGCCTCTTCACTGATCGCTACTAGGTCACTCTCCCTGAGCCGTGAGCTTTATCATACCTCTGCTTAAAGCTATGTATGGATCCTGCCTCCACTACATCGCTTCCCAAACTATTCCACTTACTGACTACTCTGTGGCTGAAGAAATACTTCCTAACATCCCTGTGATTCACCTGAGTCTTCAGCTTCCAACTGTGTCCCCTTGTTACTGTGTCCAATCTCTGGAACATCCTGTCTTTGTCCACCTTGTCAATTCCTCTCAGTATTTTGTATGTCGTTATCATGTCCCCCCTATCTCTCCTGTCCTCCAGTGTCGTCAGGTTGATTTCCCTTAACCTCTCCTCGTAGGACATACCTCTTAGCTCTGGGACTAGTCTTGTTGCAAACCTTTGCACTTTCTCTAGTTTCTTCACGTGCTTGGCTAGGTGTGGGTTCCAAACTGGTGCCGCATACTCCAATATGGGCCTAACGTACACGGTGTACAGGGTCCTGAATGATTCCTTATTAAGATGTCGGAATGCTGTTCTGAGGTTTGCTAGGCGCCCATATGCTGCAGCAGTTATTTGGTTGATGTGCGCTTCAGGAGATGTGCCTGGTGTTATACTCACCCCAAGATCTTTTTCCTTGAGTGAGGTTTGTAGGCTCTGACCCCCTAGACTGTACTCCGTCTGCTGCCTTCTTTGTCCTTCCCCAATCTTCATGACTTTGCACTTGGTGGGATTGAACTCCAGGAGCCAATTGCTGGACCAGGTCTGCAGCCTGTCCAGATCCCTTTGTAGTTCTGCCTGGTCTTCGATCGAGTGAATTCTTCTCATCAACTTCACGTCATCTGCAAACAGGGACACCTCAGAGTCTATTCCTTCCGTCATGTCGTTCACAAATACCAGAAACAGCACTGGTCCTAGGACTGACCCCTGCGGGACCCCGCTGGTCACAGGTGCCCACTCTGACACCTCGCCACGTACTATGACTCGCTGCTGTCTTCCTGACAAGTATTCCCTGATCCATTGTAGTGCCTTCCCTGTTATCCCTGCTTGGTCCTCCAGTTTTTGCACCAATCTCTTGTGTGGAACTGTGTCAAACGCCTTCTTGCAGTCCAAGAAAATGCAATCCACCCACCCCTCTCTCTCTTGTCTTACTGCTGTCACCATGTCATAGAACTCCAGTAGGTTTGTGACACAGGATTTCCCGTCCCTGAAACCATGTTGGCTGCTGTTGATGAGATCGTTCCTTTCTAGGTGTTCCACCACTCTTCTCCTGATAATCTTCTCCATGATTTTGCATACTATACATGTGTATAGTGTGTGTATAGGTGTGTGTGTGTGTATAGGTGTGTGTGTGTGTGTATAGGTGTGTGTGTGTATAGGTGTGTGTGTATAGGTGTGTGTATAGGTGTGTGTTGTGTGTGTGTATAGGTGTGTGTGTATAGGTGTGGTGTGTGTGTGTTAGGTTGTGTTGTGTGTATAGTGTGTGTGTGTGTGTGTGTATATAGGTGTGTGTGTGTGTGTTGTGTGTGTATAGGTGTGTGTGTGTGTGTATATAGGTGTGTGTGTGTGTGTGTGTGTGTGTATATAGGGTGTGTGTGTGTGTGTGTGATGGTGTTATAGGTGTGTGTGTGTGTGTGTGTATAGGTGTGTGTGTGTGTGGTGGTGTGTGTGTGTGTGTATAGGTGTGTGTGTGTGTTGTGTGTGTGTGTGTGTGGTGTGTGTTTGTGTGTTGTGTGTGTGTGTGTGTGTTGTGTGTGTGGGTGTGTGTGTGTGTGTGTGTGTGTGTGTGTGTGCGCGCGCGCGCGCGCGCGTGTATAGGTTGTGTGTGTAAACCATACCCCCGGCCGGGATTGAACCCGCGGTCATAGAGTCTCAAAACTCCAGCCCGTCGCGTTAGCCACTAGTGGCTAACGCGACGGGCTGGAGTTTTGAGACTATGACCGCGGGTTCAATCCCGGCCGGGGGTATGGTTTATTTGCAATCGTGTCATTACGATTTCTTAAGTCAAGTCTCGTTGTGTGTGTGTATAGGGGGGGGTGTGTGTGTGTATAGGGGGGTGTGTGTGTGTGTATAGGGGTGTGTGTGTGTGTGTGTGTGTGTGTGTGTGTGTGTGTGTGTGTGTGTGTGTGTGTGTGTGTGTGTGTGTGGTGTGTGTGTGTGTCCGTCCTGTTAATGAAATGGGGTTTCTGTGAGCGAGGTGGAGGTTTCATTAGTATGTTTTACTCGATTCTGAAGGTTCTGCCAAGGTGTCCTCTTCGGTACTTTTAACAGAGGGACCAAATGGAAGATATTTTGGTAATAATGTGCACAGAATTTTGTGTGTTGTAAAAGAAGCAGGGTTTTTTGTTTCGTTGCCCCAGAGACTAATGTATGATTCTTATTCTCCTTTACTACTGTAGTAAGGGCGAGGTGCTGCGTGCACCAAGATCATGTACTTACTGTATGTCACCCTTGTCAGTTTAGAATGTTCTGTTATAGGAGACGGCATTGAACGTTGCCCTATCAAGTGCTCATCTCTGATTGGAGGTTAATGAGGTAGGAATATATATACACATACGGATTAAGGGGATATTTCTCAAACTGTTCATACTGTATACCTTTGTGTTGAGAGGAGGTATATATCTTAGAAAAAAAAAAATTCTTATAACTTATCATTTATTCTAGTGTATGCAATATTACATAAGATGTGTTTGTTAGGGTATATTTGGTGTGGGGGTGCTATTAGTCTCCTCGAAAATATTGTATTGGGGATTTTAGTTTTCGAATGTCTATGTGCATAAAATGTTGCTATACAACACAGTTGTGAGTAAAAGGCATTAGTGTATAATTAATGTTTAGTATATAAAGTTTTTATACAAGATATGAATAAGAGAACCAGTTTTGTGTTGTAGCTTTTTTTTGTTTGAGGAATGTTCAGGTGTAGGTTGTCCTCTGTTTAGTTCTAAGTTTTCTTATATTGTTGCTTACTCTTTCTTCTTAGGTCATTATGTATCACAATATGGATAATGTATACTGTGTTTCTAAATAAAAATATAAAAAAAAATTTAAGCGGAGTGAACGAGGCGTTCTAGTAATAAATTAAAATATGCCAAAACATTCAGGCAAAGTAGCTCCTTCCAGGACAATTAAATACAAAATTCATAGAGGTTTCTGATAAAAATAAGAGTTTAAAAATATTAACCTTCGTTATGCCTGGACCATTTACTTTCGACTAAACTTCATTCTGATATTGAAGTCTTGTTTAAACCAAATAAAAATAATCTTAACATTCTCATGAACCGACTGGCACAGTTAATCAAGGTAGACCCACTTCTGACCTGCTTCGGACTTTGGTTTTATAGTGTGGCAAGTGAATCCATGACGCCGATCCCTCTCCATAAAGCCAGCCAAGGCCAGGCAACCACCGAAGAAAGTGATGTGCCACACATACGACACTAACACTGCTGTCCCTGCAAAGAAAGAAATAGTTATCATTCGTAAGCTTAATGTTTTTGAAATCAACAAAGGGTATTTAATGCCTCTTTGGTTCATGTGCTGAAAAATTTAATACATATATTAAAGCCAGTTTCTTTGAAGCAATATATTTGTGGAAAATTACATTTATCTGGTTGTAACTCATAATGTACATACCAGTAAATGATAAAGATTATTATTTATCAACGTTACATAGACAAGTAGGAATTGGTCGCAAAAAAATGTCCCCCTTCGATACCTACAACTGTCATGTCCACAAGTTGCTCTAGACCTATTAATTACAAATGAAATATGCATCACCAGGAATTCTGGTAAATATATAAATTTGTGGACTGTATATTAAAATGAATAAATGATTACATATGCACATTTATATAACAGAAGGAGAATATAACTTAATACCACTCACCAATTTGACTAGAGATTAATGTGTATCATACTCAAAAAACCTCATTCTAACTAAATCTATGAAAATAATGCTGGCCAGAATTATAACACAAATTTAAATAGCTTATCTGAGGTTCCTGGAGCTGTCTTGTCCAGTCGTCTGATATCTCAAGTTATGCAGGAATGCACATCCAACAATTTCGGCTCCTATTTGAGAGGTGTGAGCCCAATTTAACCTCTAAAGCACGAAAATTCTTCTGATTATTCACTAACGTTTGTGTTGACTAGTTCAAACATGGCGAGTATCTTCTGCGCAGGCGCAGAATTTCCCATTTTTTATAACAATTTTTATTAAATATAATATAGGCCATCTATTTACCTATAAATTACCGTATTTCCAGAAAATATACAGTATTTTCCACAATATTATTCAGAACAAACCGATAATTTACAGACTCCAGAGATGTATAGGTTGGCAGAATTTATTAACTTAGTATTAGGTATTTATGTGGATTTTTTTTATAATTTTCCCAAATGTGGAGTATATAAATGTAAATAGATGATGTGATGTGTAAAACTGTGACGCTGAGTGGACCTTCTAGAAATTTCGAATAGGGGGGAGAGGGGGAAGGTAACCAGCGGCACGGGGGGAGACGTTGACAATATGGCAGTATCACTGGTAGTACAATTATTTGGTGCAATCGGGTGTCACTGAAGCCGAAAATGGTGGTATCGGCTGGAATCAAGGATTAGAAATTACGACGACGTTTCAGTCCGACTTGAACCATTTACAAGTCGGACCGAAAGCGGGTTATTTGTGTATCGTTCCAGTCACGGTATTGTGCCTTTTTTTGTTATTGGAAATTACTTTAACGTCCTCCGCAATGAAAAATGACATATTGAGTAAAACGGCTATAATAAAGCTGTATAGTGACAAAATGAGGCAAGAGGCGCTAGGATTATAGATACCATAAACAATTAATTACTAAGCCCAGAGAGGCTAGGATTGTAACTGCCAATTCCATATAACTTGGCTCCTGCTTCTTCCGGTACACTGAGCCAGAGAACAAGATTAATTATGCCCACAGAATCACCCGAGGTATCTACTTTAGGTACTGTAAATGTTGCAACTCCCACACTATTATTTCACATTTTAAATTATACTCACATCTTAGTTTTCAAAAGGTCATCCAGTACCACTTTTGCGAATACCGAGGAGGCCAGAGGAGAGAAATTTTATATTAATAAATTTGTATATCAGGAGGAATAAATGTATAATAAATTGCTGCTAATACTATTAGTTTGCAGTGTGGAAATTTTTCTACAATCATTCTAAATGTGGAGTATATAAATGTAAACAGATGTGATGTGTAAAAGTGTGACGCTAAAGTGGACCTTCAGACATTTCGAGTGAAAAGAGGTGTGCAGTGGCAGCAGAGTGGCACAGAGGCTGACTATATGGTGATCTATTAATTGTGCAATTGTCTTGTGTAATCGAGCGTCCACGAGGCCGAAAATGGTGATATTGGCTAGAATCAAGGATTAGAAATTACTTTAACGTAAGCACGTAAAGAAACTAGAGAAAGTGGAAAGGTTTGCAACAAGACTATTCCCAGAGCTAAGAGGCAAGTCCTACGAGGAGAGGCTTAAGGAAATCGACCTGACACTTGACGACAAAAGAGAAGGGGACATGATAACGACGTATAAAATACTGAGAGGAATTGACAAGGTGGACAGAGAATGTTCCAGAGATGGGACACAGCAACAAGCGGACAGTTGGAAGTTGAAGACTCGGATGAATCACAGATGTTAGGAAGTATTTCTTCAGTCACAGAGTAGTCAGGAAGTGAAATAGTTTGGGAAGCGATGTAGTGGAGGCAGGATCTATTTATAACTAAGAGGTATGATAAAGCTCATGGTGCAAGGAGAGTGACCCAGTAGCGGCCAGTGAAGAGGCGGGGCCATGAGCTATGCTTCGACCCCTGCAACCAGAAATAGGCGAGTACACAGACAGAAACGAACGAAGACAGACTGAGAAAGAGACAGACCGATGAGGCTGATAATCACGAAGATGTGGGTTAATGCAGAGGGACGGGAGAATCTTACCAGCGGGAAGCATAAGCGTGGAGGCTCACCTGTGCCTCTTAGCCTCAGTCTCTGAAGAATTGTTGAAAATGAAGATTCTTGCAGAAGAGCAAAAGTGAAATATTAGAAATGTGAATATATCATTAAATCCCAGCATCCCGGAACAACGTGACTAGCAGTACTGGCTCTCTCAGGAACCACTTCCTATCCCAGCGAACAACCATTCAGATATTACGATCAAAAATTAAGCGCCAAGTCCAGCCACGAGAGAGATTCCCCGGAATTAACTAAGCTTGGCAAAGCTTCCTATTTAGACTAAGCAATATCACAAGCTATTAACCTAAAAGGAGGTCGAATGGTAAAGAAATGAGTAATATAGCCATTTATTGGCCACTCTGGGTCAGCAGGCAACCTGTCAGTAGCATATCCATCACAATGGTTACGTTATCTTTTGGGTGAAGCGACAGACCACAACACTACAACTGGCAGAAACACACTGATCCTGAGGATACACTTCCCTTCCTTTCAGAAGAAAATTATGCGAAAAGCGAAAATATCCACTATTTAAATCTCATCGTTTGATCAACACGGCTGATCCATTGCCAAACTGGTTTGATAATTTAAAAACAAAAAAAGTGCCGCAGAATAAATAATGTTCCAGCTAGCTTCTCAGAGCCCGCCATAACGGGCACCATTACACGAAGAAAGTTTTCCTGCTAAACTATCATGCATTCATAATCAAGTAGTGTCAGTGTCCATAAAGTCGAATTCACAACCATGTATCTCATGACGGGAGGTCTTCCTGGTCTATCATGGCGGGAGGCCTTCCTGGTCTATCATGACGGGAGGCCTCCCTGGTCTATCATGACGGGAGGCCTCCCTGGTCTATCATGGCGGGAGGGCTCCCTGGTCTATCATGACGGGAGGCCTTCCTGGTCTATCATGACGGGAGGCCTCCCTGGTCTATCATGACGGGAGGCCTTCCTGGTCTATCATGGCGGGAGGCCTTCCTGGTCTATCATGGCGGGAGGCCTTCCTGGTCTATCATGACGGGAGGCCTCCCTGGTCTATCATGACGGGAGGCCTCCCTGGTCTATCATGGCGGGAGGCCTTCCTGGTCTATCATGACGGGAGGCCTCCCTGGTCTATCATGACGGGAGGCCTCCCTGGTCTATCATGACGGGAGGCCTTCCTGGTCTATCATGACGGGAGGCCTTCCTGGTCTATCATGACGGGAGGCCTTCCTGGTCTATCATGGCGGGAGGCCTTCCTGGTCTATCATGACGGGAGGCCTCCCTGGTCTATGACGGGAGGCCTCCCTGGTCTATCATGGCGGGAGGGCTCCCTGGTCTATCATGACGGGAGGCCTCCCTGGTCTATCATGACGGGAGGCCTTCCTGGTCTATCATGACGGGAGGCCTTCCTGGTCTATCATGGCGGGAGGCCTTCCTGGTCTATCATGACGGGAGGCCTCCCTGGTCTATCATGACGGGAGGCCTCCCTGGTCTATCATGGCGGGAGGGCTCCCTGGTCTATCATGACGGGAGGCCTTCCTGGTCTATCATGACGGGAGGCCTTCCTGGTCTATCATGACGGGAGGCCTCCCTGGTCTATCATGGCGGGAGGGCTCCCTGGTCTATCATGACGGGAGGCCTCCCTGGTCTATCATGGCGGGAGGGCTCCCTGGTCTATCATGGCGGGAGGGCTCCCTGGTCTATCATGACGGGAGGCCTTCCTGGTCTATCATGACGGGAGGCCTCCCTGGTCTATCATGACGGGAGGCCTTCCTGGTCTATCATGACGGGAGGCCTCCCTGGTCTATCATGACGGGAGGCCTCCCTGGTCTATCATGACGGGAGGCCTCCCTGGTCTATCATGACGGGAGGCCTCCCTGGTCTATCATGACGGGAGGCCTCCCTGGTCTATCATGACGGGAGGCCTCCCTGGTCTATCATGACGGGAGGCCTCCCTGGTCTATCATGGCGGGAGGCCTCCCTGGTCTATCATGGCGGGAGGGCTCCCTGGTCTATCATGACGGGAGGCCTTCCTGGTCTATCATGACGGGAGGCCTCCCTGGTCTATCATGGCGGGAGGGCTCCCTGGTCTATCATGACGGGAGGCCTTCCTGGTCTATCATGACGGGAGGCCTCCCTGGTCTATCATGACGGGAGGCCTCCCTGGTCTATCATGACGGGAGGCCTTCCTGGTCTATCATGACGGGAGGTCTTCCTGGTCTATCATGACGGGAGGCCTTCCTGGTCTATCATGACGAAAGGCCTTCCTGGTCTATCATGACGGGAGGCCTTCCTGGTCTATCATGGCGGGAGGCCTTCCTGGTCTATCATGGCGGGAGGCCTTCCTGGTCTATCATGGCGGGAGGCCTTCCTGGTCTATCATGGCGGGAGGCCTTCCTGGTCTATCATGACGGGAGGCCTCCCTGGTCTATCATGACGGGAGGCCTCCCTGGTCTATCATGACGGGAGGCCTCCCTGGTCTATCATGACGGGAGGCCTCCCTGGTCTATCATGACGGGAGGCCTCCCTGGTCTATCATGACGGGAGGCCTCCCTGGTCTATCATGACGGGAGGCCTCCCTGGTCTATAATGACGGGAGGCCTCCCTGGTCTATCATGACGGGAGGCCTCCCTGGTCTATCATGACGGGAGGCCTCCCTGGTCTATCATGACGGGAGGCCTCCCTGGTCTATCATGACGGGAGGCCTTCCTGGTCTATCATGACGGGAGGGCTCCCTGGTCTATCATGACGGGAGGGCTCCCTGGTCTATCATGACGGGAGGGCTCCCTGGTCTATCATGACGGGAGGGCTCCCTGGTCTATCATGACGGGAGGGCTCCCTGGTCTATCATGACGGGAGGGCTCCCTGGTCTATCATGACGGGAGGCCGCCCTGGTCTATCATGACGGGAGGCCGCCCTGGTCTATCATGACGGGAGGGCTCCCTGATCTATCATGACGGGAGGGCTCCCTGGTCTATCATGACGGGAGGCCTCCCTGGTCTATCATGACGGGAGGCCTCCCTGGTCTATCATGACGGGAGGCCTCCCTGGTCTATCATGACGGGAGGCCTCCCTGGTCTATCATGACGGGAGGCCTCCCTGGTCTATCATGACGGGAGGCCTCCCTGGTCTATCATGACGGGAGGGCTCCCTGGTCTATCATGACGGGAGGCCTCCCTGGTCTATCATGACGGGAGGGCTCCCTGGTCTATCATGACGGGAGGCCTCCCTGGTCTATCATGACGGGAGGGCTCCCTGGTCTATCATGACGGGAGGGCTCCCTGGTCTATCATGACGGGAGGCCTCCCTGGTCTATCATGACGGGAGGGCTCCCTGTTCTATCATGACGGGAGGCCGCCCTGGTCTATCATGACGGGAGGGCTCCCTGGTCTATCATGACGGGAGGCCTCCCTGGTCTATCATGACGGGAGGGCTCCCTGGTCTATCATGACGGGAGGGCTCCCTGGTCTATCATGACGGGAGGCCTCCCTGGTCTATCATGACGGGAGGCCTCCCTGGTCTATCATGACGGGAGGCCTCCCTGGTCTATCATGGCGGGAGGCCTCCCTGGTCTATCATGGCGGGAGGCCTCCCTGGTCTATCATGGCGGGAGGCCTCCCTGGTCTATCATGGCGGGAGGCCTCCCTGGTCTATCATGGCGGGAGGCCTTCCTGGTCTATCATGACGGGAGGCCGCCCTGGTCTATCATGACGGGAGGCCGCCCTGGTCTATCATGACGGGAGGCCGCCCTGGTCTATCATGACGGGAGGCCGCCCTGGTCTATCATGACGGGAGGCCTCCCTGGTCTATCATGACGGGAGGCCTCCCTGGTCTATCATGACGGGAGGCCTCCCTGGTCTATCATGACGGGAGGCCTCCCTGGTCTGTCATGACGGGAGGCCTCCCTGGTCTATCATGACGGGAGGCCTCCCTGGTCTATCATGATGGGAGGCCTCCCTGGTCTATCATGATGGGAGGCCTCCCTGGTCTATCATGATGGGAGGCCTCCCTGGTCTATCATGATGGGAGGCCTCCCTGGTCTATCATGATGGGAGGCCTCCCTGGTCTATCATGATGGGAGGCCTCCCTGGTCTATCATGATGGGAGGCCTCCCTGGTCTATCATGATGGGAGGCCTCCCTGGTCTATCATGATGGGAGGCCTCCCTGGTCTATCATGATGGGAGGCCTCCCTGGTCTAATTGCACCTGGAAAGGAGCTGGGCCTGACGGGCATAACAGACTCAGGCTGATGTAACCAAGTATAAGCTACTAGATTACTAGTCTGTACAAGGCTGAATAAAGGAAATAAAATCTACTTTTCCAGATGAACTAGTTAAAACTCAGCACCTGTATGTGTCATACGAAACAGGATTTAAAAATAAAGGAGACAACCTCTTCTAGAAGAAAAAAAATATGAATCTGCCGAAACAACCAGCAACGCTGATTTCATAGAAGTTACTAGGCTACCTGGTGAAACGTTACTGCAATGGCTCCGTGAAAATTTCCTAGCAAAACCGCTTTAAAGAGCCAGAGTGCACCATATTAACGGTTACAACAGTGAAAATAAAGCGAAGTCTTAGATACAATGAAAGAACCATCCAGTAAGGTATTACCATCATGCCGTAAGTGAAATTAAAGCTTGTTAAATGTTTTGTCCTTGCATGATAGTTTCTCAGATCATTACAAATGGCAGATTAATATAGCATTCGGGGGTAATTTTAAAAACTGTTATTGCAATTCAACGTTAAATTACAGAGCAAAGCTTTGTTCTGTAATTTAAAAACTAAATTCAGTATGCGAGCAGAGGAGCTTACCCGTGTAGAGGCAGAAGATCTGGACGCTAGGGAATGGAGTAATGGCACCAACGAAAAATGAGATCATGTCAGTGAGGGAAGTGATGGTGATGCTGACAGCAGATTCTGCCATAGTTTGGCCCATCCTCTCCTGTACACTGTCCTGCAGCTTTGTGCGGCGCCACGCCGCCAGCATCACGAAAGCGTTGTCGATACCGATGCCTGAGAAAATTTAGCCCATCTGAGACTAAACTAACATCTCTTCTCACCAGGCGGGTCAGGTTCAAAACAACCATGTAATATTTAATTCAGAGGTATCAGTCATCTTATTAAATATATTAGTAGTTCACAGGAAAGCAAAAGCTGACTAAATGTGATTTAGAGCAGAATAAAAGACTAGTGAGCAGGTACTCGCCTAACATGAGGAAGGGCGAAGCCATGTTTATGCCGATGAACTCTACCCCGAGGTATATCAGGAAACCGTAGGCGGCGAGGCAGGCGAGGGTAGCTGAGATGATGCTTGCAAAACCCAGCCAGGGCTTAGAACGCACCCAGTCACCCATCATAACAGAACACACGCTGAACACCACCAATATAGCTACAGCTACGGCATATAAAGGCGCCACTGAGTGCGTGTTTCTTTCCAGCTCAACTTCGAGCGTGCGAGACACGAACCTTGCTACAGAGATGAACTCGAACTCCCGCTTTTCCACTGCTTCGAGGAGGGCATCTTCCCACAGCGTGGCTCTGGATGCAGAACATAACATAAGAAAGAAGGAACACTGCAACAGGCATACTGACCCATGCGGAGCAGGTCCATGTCCCCCCCGGATTAGACCTATGACCCACCCACCCCGGATAAGCCCAATGACCCACCCAGTCTGATCATCTCCACTCAAGGAAGGAGCACTGCACCAGACCCAGCAGCACAAGCTAGTCAAGTCCAACTCACACCCACTCATGTATTTATCTAACCTATTTTTAAAATTACACAACCTTTTAGCCTGAATAACTGTACTCGGGAGTTTGTTCCACTCATCCACAACTCTATTACCAAACCAGTGCTTTCCTATATCCTTCCTGAATCTGATTTTTTCCAACTTGAAACCATTGCTGCGAGTCCTGTCTTGGCTGGAAATTTTCAGCACGCTATTTACATCCCCTTTATTCCTGTTTTCCATTTATACACCTCGATCATATCCCCCCTAATTCTACCCCTTTCAAAAGTGCAGATTCAGGACCCTCAGTCTATCCTCATAGGGAAGATTTCTGATACATGGGATCATCTTTGTCATCCTCCTTTGTACGTTTTCCAGAGCATTTATATCCATTCTGTAATACAGTGACCAGAACTGAGCAGCATAGTCTAAATGAGGTCTAACCAAGGATATAGAGTTGAATAACCTGAGGACTTCTGTTATTTATACTTCTAGATATGAAGCCAAGAATTGTTAGCTTTAATGCGAACACTTATGCACTGTTGTCTTGGTTTTAGATTACTGCTAACCAGAACTCCTAAATCCTTTTCGCAATCAGTAGTATTAAGATCTACAATATTTAGTTTATATGTGGCATGGTTATTTACCTGTCCAACATTTAGAACTTTGCATTTGTCAATATTAAACTGCATCTGCCAATATTAAACTGCATCTGCCACTTCTCTGCCCATTGCATCAGTCTATTCAAATCATCCTGGAGTGCTCTAGTGTCCTTATTAGAATGAATTGGACGGCCTATTTTGGTGTCAGCAAATTTGCTTATGTCGCTATTTATTCCCTCATCTATGTCGTTTATGTAAATTGTGAACAACAACGGGCCCAACACTGACCCCTGAGGAACACCGCTTGTGACGTGCCCCCATTCTGATTTCTCCCCAATTATGCAAACTCTGCTGTCTATTTGTCAGCCATGCCTCTACCCAGGAAAAAATTTCTCCTCCTATTCCGTGTGCCTTAAGTTTCCTCAACAGACTCTGGTGTGGAACTATCGAAAGCCTTACTGAAGTCCATATACACAATATCATATTCATTACCATGATCTACCTCCTCAAACACCTTAGTGAAAAAAGTTAGTAAATTCGTAAGACAGGAACGCCCCTTTGTAAAACCGTGTTGAGATTCATTAATCAATCTGTGCCTGTCAAGATGGCTAAGAATTGTTTCGGCAATTATTGATTCCATAAATTTTCCCACTATGGAGGTAAGGCTTATTGGTCTATAGTTCGAAGCCAAGGACCTGTCACCTGCCTTGTAAACAGGCATTACATTTGCCATTTTCCACTTATCAGGCACTATGCCACTTTGTAGTGATATGTTAAAAAGATTAGCCAAAGGTATGCTAAGTTCCTCTTTACATTCCTTTAACACCCTTGCAAACAGTTCATCAGGACCTGGGGATTTGTTAGGTTTTAGTTTCTCTTTGAGGACCATGTCACTAGTTACCGCAATCGTACATAGTTTATCATCCTGTTCTACATAATCTATTATTTCAGGAATATCGCTAGTATTTTCCTGGGTGAAAACAGAGTCAGTAGGTATTTAGAATTTCACAAAAATCCTTATCACTGTCAGTGATCTGACCAGAGTTGCTCTTAAGTGGGCCAATCTTGTCCCTAATCTTACTTTTGTATACCTGAAAGAACCCTTTTGGGTTAGTCTTTGAATCCCTTGCGACCTTAGCCTCATAATCCCTTTTTGCTCTTCTTATTCTTTTCTTTCTCTCTTTAATTGAACATATTGATTTCTTAACTGCCCATTCCCTCTTTTGATACGCCTATATATGCCTCTCTTGACCAATGAGAGGTTTTAATCTATTGTTCATCCATTTGGGATCATTTTTGTTAAATCTAATTTCCCTACTCGGAACAAAAGTTGTCTGGGCAGCTAGAACTATGCTCCGAAAAAAGTCATATTGGCAACCAAGATCACCTACCTGACCCATAGTCAGGACATCCCAATTTAGCCCACCCAGGTAATTTTTCAGTCCCATGAAGTCGGCCAAGCGAAAATCTGGGACAGATTTGATTGCAGTTATCTGGGTAATTCCATTATATATTAAAACTAAGTGATTTGTGATCCCTTTCCCCAAGCTCATCATTAACCTCAAGATTATTAATTAGTGAATCTGTGTTGGCAAGAACCAAGTCAAGCAGATTGTTTCCTCTAGTTGGTTCTGTCACAACCTGTTCTAAAAAGCAATCCTGAACCTTATCAAGAAAGTCACTAGACTCTAGATTTCCTGTCATGTTGTTCCAATCAATTTGTCTAAAGTTAAAATCTCCCATTATCACAACATTTTCATATCTAGATGCCTTATGAATTTCGTCCCATAACAGCTTACTGCCCTCCCTATCAAGGTTTGGGGGCCTATAAATCACACCCAAAATTAATTTGTCATGTCCCTCGAGAAACTGTAGCCAAACAGATTGTGTTCGATGTTTCTAATCTTATATCATGTCTAAGACAACAATTTAAATTTTCTCTGACATACATCGCCACACCACCACTCTTCCTGCTGACCCTATCAGTATGGAATAGTTTATAACCCTGTATGTTGCATTCAGAAGGCATTTCTCTATCTTTCAGGTTGAACCAGGTCTCTTGTTATACCAATAATATCTATATTACCTACACTTGCAAGTAATCTTAGCTCACCTATCTTATTTCTTAGACTCTTACTATTTGTATAATAAACCTTAAGGGAGCTAGTCACTCGTTGCCCTCTACTATCCCTCTGTTTGTTGATCAACTGACTTGCCATTACTAGCAACTTTATTTTGAATATCGTCTTTTAAACATATCCCTGAGGTATCCCAGTAATAACTGCTGCTTTTAACTCTAATGCTGCAGCCTGATTGTTTCCCCACAAACACCCATACCTCTATAATCTATCAGTTTAAATTCCTAGACAAGTCATCAATTACCCTCTCAATTGAATTGGCTAATGCAACCGCTCCATCCCCAGAGAGATGAACCCCATTCCTTGCATACATATCACGTTTGCCAAAGAATAGGTCCCAGTTATCAATGAATGGGATTGCAAGTTCCTTGCAGTACCCGTCTAGCCAGCAATTTATACCAATTGCCCTAGACATCCATTCATTGCCCACTCCCTTTCTAGGCAAGATGCTACATATGATTCGGATCCCTCCCTTAGACCTAACTACTTCTATGGCTGACCTGTACTTATCCAGTAGCTCCTCTCTCCTGCCCTTCCCAATGTCATTTCCCCCAGCACTAAGACAGATAATGGGCTTGTTCCCATTGCCTGCCATATTATTATCCAACCTGCTATGTCACCAACACCAGCTCCAGGAAGACACACTCTGTCTGACCTTTGTCTATTACAAAATGCACGGTCCATATATCTTACCTGAGAATCGCCTATTAAAATATTCTTACCTTGATTAGCAGGGAAATCAGTGGTACGTTCAACCTCACTAACCACTGAAGTACACTCGTCTTGGAGGACAGAGAATCGATTTCCTACCTTCACATCTTATCTATTACTCGCCTTTTCCTTCTTCCTGAACTGTGAACCACTTACCACTTAAAGCTGCTGCCACTATCACTGCTGGTGACCATTCCTTCCTTACCAGCTAAATCCTTCTCACACTCACTCCCAAACTCATCTATGCGAAGCTTCAGCTTCCTATTTTCCTCCTGAAGAAGTAGAATCTCCTTCTTCAACACTTGAACCTGAGATTCTAAAACACTACAACAAGTCATGGTGCTTGGTAACAGCCCACGCTAACTCCCAAGAGCTTAGGCAGGTATGACCGCAGGTGACCACTGACCTCAGCATACTTGTTAAGTTTAGCCTCGGTAATGATACAAAATCCACCATAAAAAGGAATTTTTTTTATGTACTCCCCCCTCTAGTAAAGCTTCTAATGAGAAATAATATGGTAATACCGACAAAATGTGGAAAGACACTTTTGTACAGTTCAGGACATTTATTAAAGGAAACTGTCATAAGTGGATTCTTCAGTCCTAATACACAGTAGGCAAGTATATATATAGTGGCAAGAGTCAGGTGGAAGGTCGCCTAAGTAGTACTTGTAGTAGTAGTACACTTTGGTAGTATTATTAGTACACTTTTGGTAGTTGTGCAAGACAGGTATACAATACCGACAAGATGAAAGTTAAGACACTTGTGCAACATCTGGTTATCCTTACCTGTGCTTCAGAATCTCTACAACCACGGTGTTGTAAACACCACCTCCAAGGCTGAGGGACTGATTACCTCATCTTTTGTATATAGTTCTTCTGTTTTCTAATTATGTCCAAGAATTTGTATTGATAAAGCTACTGGATGGCGAAACGTCTACAATAAAGATACCCAGATGTTGCACAAGTGTCTTAACTTTCATCACTTTTGGTAGTACAATTTCGATAGATGTATAATTGCACCATCACCACTATATATACTTCTCTTTGCTACTCTGTATTAGGATTTTAGAAGCAACTTTGGCAAAAAGTTTCCTTTAATAAATGTCCTGAACCGTACATAAGTGTCTTACCACAAAACAATGTACAACGTCTGCATTAAACTGTTTATCATTGTTAACCTAAAATACCCATTTTTAAAACAGGGTCATTGTCACTGTCAGAATTTCCAGTTTCTTTAGTCTTTGTTACAGCTTCCTACAAAAAGAGCAAAATTTAGTGAGAAATAGTGCACTTACTCTGCCTGCTGCTTGGCAGTGTTGGTCTTGAGCCAGTAGAAGACTGAAAGTGCCTGCACGCTCATGATGCCGCTGCTGTTGACATCCACGCCGCCGAAGAAGAACGGGAACACTAGAGCTTCGAAGGTAAGAGGATTGAGCATGAATGGATAAGTCAGGGTGAAGGTGCCATTCTCAATCTCTGGCATGAATTCATGTAGATCTAGAACGTTGTTCTCGAAGCATTTGCTGTCCCATATGGCGCAAAGGTCATTATATCCAACTTCCTCGTTCTCCATCAGAACATTGATAGAATGAACCAAACTATTTAGACTCATTATTTCCTCCCAAATGTGTGTTCGTAGGAGGGTCGCTTCATCCTTAGCTGTGATGATTAATCTGGCATAGCGTCCCATCCGCGTTATTCGTGACGGATGGAAGTCAGAACTGTAGTTGACGAAAAAATTTTCTTCTATAATAGCTCTCTCGACCTTTGCTAAGCCTGTGGTGGGGGAGAACAAGTACTCAGGATCATCCTCGTACCTAATTCTCTGGATCCCCGTGGCCAAGATGGCAGAGATGAAGACGGGAACAATGATGAAGTAGCCGTAGTGATTAGCGATTGTATTCCCCAACTTGTAAAACGACCGGTTAAGGAAGTTATCGAACTTTGTGAGCAAGTAAACCATGATGGGGATGTCTAAGGTGGTGCAGTATGTGCTCCAGCGGTGTCACAGTTGCACCAGCGGTGTCACAGTTGCAACAGCAGCTTCACACTAGCAATATCTAAAAGTATCAAAACGTAATAAAGTTAATGTCTTTTTTACAGCTAGACAGTATTCAAACAGTAGTCGGAAGCAAGTTCTTTTACATGTTAAGATACGAAAGTTCTGGGTCTTCCAGTACGCCGAAGACATGAACATGTGTTAGAGGACCTGTTAACTGTTGTATATTAAGAGGACTGTAGGGGTAAGGTTGCAAACCCTGAAACTACTATAATACCATATTAAGTTTCGAAAACCAGTGACTTTTCTGTTGCAATCTGAAGATGATACACGAAAGTAATCAATACCTCAGCCTGTAAATCGGTGTACAGCACCTTAGTCTAGATTAATCTGAAGCATACACAGATGAACTCTTGCAAAGATGTGCAGCAGTTGAAGTCTCAAGTAGGCGGGACCCCACTAGTGGGAGAGGACCCTACCCGAGAGTTAGGTCAGAAGTTACCAAATAGATTTTAGAAAAAAGTGTCAGACACTGCACTCTTTGTACAGAAGATATCTCTTACAGGTTATCTGTCAACCTGTGACCCAACTCTTGTGTAGGATCACGTTATACTGGCGAATCCTGCCCCACCCGTGACTTTAAACCGCCTCACCTTGTCTAAACAAGAACCCCTCCTGCCTGTGGGTGTTTTGCAGACTATCATAACATCACTGGTATACAATGTGTAATTCTTCAAATCGTCTTTTAGACTAAAGGCACTGAACATCAACTTCTAGGCTGAGAGACTGATTACCTTATCTTACATAGTCTTGGGCGCATAGTCCTGCAACGTTGAAGGACTAATTATCTTCTGCTGCTTCGTATCTCTGCATTGAAATAAGAGACTTGGCAAAACTTCAAATGAAGATATCCTGGTGTTGCATATTTCTCTAATTCCTGATTATTTAAACATTAATTCTGATTGTAGGCGAGTACTCCGCAGCCTTCAGATGTACCAGTACCCGTGTAGGTATGTCTAATATTTGGGTTTTCATCTCATGATTAACAATACGGGCCACATTTTAGTTAAGACGTATTAAACTTTTTCATGTACCAGAAAAGAATCAAGTTTGTGGATTTGCGAAACACTTCAGCGTATGAAGATGCTCATTACTGCTGGAGAAAAAAAAAAATTGTTAAGCCAGAAAATAGATCTAATAGAGCAGATAGCTAATATCCAGACCATGGAGGGCCATGAAAATTTCTGAAGAAAATAACTAGACCTTCATAAAAACAGCACTGCCCTGCCATACAGATAATCAGCTATTTAAATTAAACGCGTATTAACAGGAAATGGTGCCTACGCCATTAGTTAATGCTGTGTAACCGTACTTTTAAAACACCAAGACTGTTTAAAAGTCCTCAGGTAGCTGCTTAACTTTACCCTGCATACCTAACAAATTATATAACATCTGGGCAAGATTATGATTCGTATGCAGACATCGCTCTGTCACCCGCAAGAAGTCACACGCAATGATACTTACCAAGTCTGGTTATAAGAACCACAAGTGAAAAATATAAAATATACACACATTCCAAGTTACATCTATAGGGAGGAAAAACTACCTTACAGGAAGCGGAGATGCTCTTCTGTCGAGAGTGAAAATACAGATAATAGAATTTGGCAAAAGAGATACAAATATTAAAGTGAGCGCACAGCTGCCATTTGTTAGATCCAGTCAGAAGGATGACTTACAGAGCACTGCTACCGCTGCTGCTACACAGTAAAATTGCGTAGAGCACAAACTAAGACTTGTTAACAGAGCTGAAGGCTGCATCACCGTCATGAAATAGCTTCGAAGAAATGGAGGAAGTTTAATCTTCACTAAAACTGCTATGTGCAACACCTGTGTGTCTCCAGACACCCAAGTGTTGCACACGTCTTAACTGGCCGGCGTTTAATAACATTAACGTAATGAGCTGATCAGGTCGGTGGTACTAGTGACATTATGGAGCACTTGACTGCATAGGTCACTCAGGCATTAAAAAATGCACCAGTAAAAGGTAAAAGCAACAAAAAAAGGAAAATAACCAACATTTATCACAAATACTCTGAGATTAAGTTATAGTAGCCAGTAGTAATAAAGAAAACTCCATTAATTTAGTAATATTAATTCTCAATTTTTCTCCGAGGACCCTACAGGCATCTCTAATTATAAAAACCATGAAGGCAGTTAAGGTCCAAGCCGAGGGCAAACTTAAAATACGATCCAGAGTCAGCGGCACGCCACGAACTAGACAGAGGGACACAAGACCTGCCAGCAAGTAGCTATGGGAGACATGTGCTCCCCCCCACCCACAGAGGATGGGGGGGGGGGGTTATGGAAGAAGCACGTGCTGACACGTGGGTATGGGAGAGGCGCTCACCAGAGCCTCAATGGCCAGATTTCTCAAAATGACACTTCCTGTTTGAGGGTCAGAGTCACGTCCTGAGTTCTTGGTTGGTCCTTTGTTGCTAAAAAGCAAAACTGAATTAAACTGGATATTTTACTAACGTTGAAATGATATATGACGAGTCATGGTCTCTACTGCAAAAATTCTTCAGCTTCCATCATCGTCTGTGCATTATTATTTTTATATAAAACGGCAATATTTAAATAGTGTCAGCAAGTACGCTTTAGAACCCCCCAACCACACACGCACAAACACACGCACAAACACGCGCACAAACACGCGCACAAACACGCGCACAAACACGCGCACAAACACGCGCACAAACACGCGCACAAACACACGCACAAACACACGCACAAACACACGCACAAATACACGCACAAACACGCACAAACACACGCACAAACACACGCACAAACACACGCACAAACACACGCACAAACACGCACAAACACACGCACAAACACACGCACAAACACACGCACAAACACACGCACAAACACACGCACAAACACACGCAAGCGTGTGTGTTTGTGCAACCAGTAATGTTTAGGAAGCTACACAACACAGCCAAAACATTACGACCTAAACCTTCAACCTGAACCCTGTCAGACTCAAACTTTTTCACGAAAACTTTACTAACCCGTATATCTCGTTTGGCGCTAACATTGCACGCCACTAACCAACACCACAAAGCAACACGGCACGCCGAGTCGCACGTCCTTGGTGTCACAAAGTCGCTAGTTAAAAGGACAAGTGCAACTAATGTGACATTTTATTGTGTCAACGTTTCGCTCTTCATTAGTTGCACTTGTGTCCTTTTACCTAACACTAGGTAATTCTACCAACATTAACACACAGTATCTACAAAGCATTCATTGAACAACGAGCAAAATTTCTACTCAAAACATTCATGTAAAACTCCATAATTACGAATTTTAAAATACCGACCTTTTTTTTTTTTTTTTTAGCGATTATTAGCATGCATCAGTTTACCCGTCACACAGCTGAAGAAATTTAAGGTAATCCTGAGTAATGGAGGGGAAGCAGAGGGACACCGCAACTCTAGATCACCAAGCCTTCAACATCAAGGTGACAGATTCTGCTGGGGTCGGCATCACCCTGATCATCTTGCAGTAGATCAGGTACTTGATAGTTAGTGTTGTAGGAGGTACCTTGAGAAGTGGTAGTGATGCAGAGATACGCGCTGAGTTAGAGACGAACCGGTGCCGGAAAGTTTTTAAACGCAAGTATGAGGCTTCGCACAAACTAATTTGAAAAGCACGTATAAATTTTTGCCAGGAGGAGAATCCAATCGCTTTATTTTTTATATTTAATATATAGAAACAGTTGTTATACATATAGTTTTGAAGCCTTATTCATAATACTTCATAAACACTGTTCAGTGTAAATACGACAATGTGGGTTATAACATCGTACTGCGACTTTCAACCACCCGAGACTCGCTTTACTAGTTCGTGAATTGAAGTTCTTAGTGGAGGAAACGTCTTCACAATGCCACAACCCACACTGTGTATTTACACACTGTCGGTATACTCCACCACTGTTACCACTGCTGAATCATCTTTACTCACCACCTACGTTAAGGAAAATTCTGGTCAATAAGGTCTCCACAGACGCATAAAACCACTCGGATCAAAAGTTGAAAAATCCTACTCAATTGAAACATTCACTTTCTGTACTTCCGGTGATAATTTTTTTTTATATTAGACCTTTATACATGTCACCTACCAGTAATTTTTTTCGTCAAGTACTACGTCTAATGCCTACTTAACATAAATACTTCCTAGAATTTCCAAGGGTGTTTCCAGTCTTAACTACACAAGGGTCATTAAGGCTTCACTATACCACCACCGGAGAACAAAATGTTAATCCCTTAAATAGGGATTTAACTGTGCCCTCACCATATAAACAGAGAAATAAAACCCTCGGAGTGTTTATATACATTATTTCTTTAACATTATGGAAATAATCGGCTTAAGGTTACCCTACCAAATTTTTAAAATCTCAAACTTGTCACTACCCACGAGACACCACTGACACCACCAACACAACCACAACTACTGACTCCTGCTCCACCTACCATCACCGTCACTCAGAGGTGGCAACCAGAGGACGCTGGTCTAACTGCCTGACCACCACACCACGTTGATAAACTATCGCTGGGGACAACAAGGAGGGAGAACGAGGTGAGGGGTGACCACTGTGTTAATGTGCAGTGGTATAGGGATGTTCTTTGTTCACCTTGTACAGTGTTCCTCAACACAATGTTCATCTGGCACAGTAATCATATTGTACAAATTGTTCACCTAACATACATTGCTTACTTAATAAGTGTTCACCTAACACAGTGTTCACCTAACACACATTCTTCACCTAGCAGTGTTCACCTAGCATACAGTTTTCATCTAACAGTGTTCACCTAGCATACAGTGTTCACTTAATACACATTGTTCGCTTAGCACATAGGTGTCACCTATCACAGTGTTCACCTATCACAGTGTTCACCTATCACAGTGTTCACCTATCACAGTGTTCACCTATCACAGTGTTCACCTGTCACAGTGTTCACCTGTCACAGTGTTCACCTGTTACAGTGTTCACCTGTCACAGTGTTCACCTGTCACAGTGTTCACCTGTCACAGTGTTCACCTGTCACAGTGTTCACCTGTCAGCGTTCACATAGTTCACGGTGTTCATCAAGCAAGTGAACGTATTTTTGGATAAAATTGTACTGAAATATCTCACATTTATTGAAATATTATCTTTCAAGGCAGAGAGAGAGAGAGAGAGAGAGAGAGAGAGAGAGAGAGAGAGAGAGAGAGAGAGAGAGAGAGAGAGAGAGAGAGAGAGAGACAGATATGTTACATGAGAGTGAATTAGGGGAAGAAATTCAACATAAATGTGGCGTCACACATCCCTGTGTCTTGCCACATGGTGATGTATCAAGGTTCTTATAAATGAAAATAAGACGTCAGACATTTTAAGCAAATACCCTAAATTTGCTGACACAAGATGAAACACGTGTGCTCCTGTTAGCCCTTTTGATGCTGGTAAAAGGACACAAGTGCAACTAATGTGACATTTTATTGTGGCAACGTTTCGCTCTCCAGGAGCTTTATCAAGCCGTTACAAACAATACATGTATGTATAATGTTCGCCAAGACCAGTGTCCTGGTACGGGTCTTAATCTTGCGATGACCGGTCTCTGGCTCCAGGAGAATTGATTCTTCATTGTTGTAGCATATGTTGCTCAAGCACTGTTCTGGACAGTTCATCTAGTTCTAGTGCGTCTCGTAAGCGACTGTGATTTGGCACTGAGGTTACTCCATCTCTGTTGTTTCCTGAGCTGGGGACTGGGCTCTGTCCGCTCTGAGAATCTGCAGATTCATGGCATCCACCGTCTCCTCCTCGACCAGTAAGCACACCCTCAGGAGTGTGCTGACCATCTGCCGGAACATGCTCTGTTGTTCCGTTGAGTTGACTGTGTTGCAAATAATATCCCTGAGTGCCTTGATGAGTGTTACGAGATCCTCCCTAGTGAGGGCCTCCGTTGGCGGTGGGCTCGAGACAGTGGATATTATCTGGGCTGTTGTGGTCTGTGGGGACTGCTGAGAGTTGTATTTCTTCATTGTGCGCACCGTGGCCTGTTGCTGTGTGCCAAGATGGGTAGCTGGGGCATTTGCTGGTGAGGTGCAGGCATAACCAGGGAAGCCTGCATAGTGGCTGTGCCAGGCAAGGAGTGCCTGCGTTGTCGTGTTATGGCCGGTGGGGGCACGTATAGTGCTGTCTGCTGATTACGATGACCAGATGTTTCCTGTTGGCGCCGCTTGTTCCCTATGTTTTTGTTTCTTCGTTAAAGTAGAGGGACAGGAGGCTTCTGTCCATGACGCCTGGTTGAGGCTTCGAGGGTCGGAAATTCCTCGGCATTAAACTGAGTGGCCTGATGAGAGTTCTTCAGTATGGCAGGATTCTCTGCATTCATCGTCTGCTGAGAGTGATGCTCTGCCGTAGCCTACTGCCTTGTTGTTGGCGTCTTCCAGGCTTCATGAATTCTAGCGAGCCTCTCGGGGTATCGAGGGTTCCAGGCATGGTGTTTCTGCCTACACTTCGGGCATCGTGGAGTGGGTGGCGATGCATTTGTCAGTTTGATGATGCAGTCCTCGGTAGGGTGGCGCTGGCTGCAGACACCGCAGATTACTCTGTTTGGATAGAGTACAGCCAGTTGTCCGTAATGCTGGCACTTGAAACAGCGAACTGATTCTGCTGTCAAGGTCCTGACATTGTACCTGCCCCAAGAACCGACGTCCAGCTGGGATGGCAGCAGTCCCACATGCTGAATGAGGACCTGCCGGGCTGGTGCGTTGCCTGCCGTCTTTGCCTAGTAGTAATACTACCAGGGCCGGATTAAGAAGTCTCCAGGCCCTAGGCTATTCAGATTGGCGGGGCCCCTTTGAGTTACGGGTAAGCGAAGGGACCCCTTCCAGCTTGGGGGTGGGGGGGAGGGGGAGGGGTCGGTATGAGCCTGTTTAAGGTCTAATTAAATACATTCTGGCTATTTAGATTAAATTTAATAGGGAAAATACATCAAGACAACCAAAACCATTTACCAACAGCCATTATAACTATCTTGTTAAATCATGCATTTTAAAGAGAATAAACTCAAGACAGCATAGTATTACTAGATTAGGCTATTAAAGTAGTGACATCATGTACCTATTATATTCAGCATAACCACTACAGCACTATTATTCCCTTTATAAATCACTGACCATTATTGTTATCATTGCATCATGCATAAGACTATCAAATCATATAAACTACAGAAAATTGGAGAGGAATCTCCCATACTCACCCATTAGCGGGAAAACACAGCTGTTCTGATGTAAACAAAGGCGTGTTGAGTGTTGCCATCTATGGTTAGGTTTATTTTTATTTTATTTTATTTCATTATTTATTTTTGTTTTGATTAATTTTTAAAAATCAATTTTACTCTCCAAACACTTGAACTTTTTAGGTAGGGACCCCTTTGCACTTGCACCATGTGTGCAGTCTTGGATGAGCCCCTGAACCCCTTGGACCGCGGGGCCCCAAATGCGCGGGGCCCTAGGCAATTCCTGGTTTGTGATGAATGGTTTGAAAAACCGACAAGTTGAAGATTGAGACACTTATGCAGCATATGGGAATCTTTATTCAGGAAACGTTTCGCCACACAGTGGCTTCATCAGTCCAGTACAAAGAGGAAGGCGTAAGGAGAGGAGAAGAATGAGGTAATCAGTCCCTCAACCTGGAGTCGATGTGTTCAGTCCATCAATCTTGTAGAATGTACAGCATAGGGCCGTAGACGTGGCTTATATACTGTAGTGAGGTGACGTGAAGCAGAAGGAGGCGGGGTCATAGTGGTACCATCCACTAGTCGAAGTAGGTCTTCGTCCAAAGGTTGAACAAGTGTTGAAGAATTCTTGTCGGTTTTTCAAACCATTCATCACAACTGTCAGACACGGCAGCATCATGGGGTCTTGTTACAAAGAATTCTTCAACACTTGTTCAACCTTTGGACGAAGACCTACTTCGACTAGTGGATGGTACCACTATGACCCCGCCTCCATCTGCTTCACGTCACCTCACTACAGTATATAAGCCACGTCTACGGCCCTATGCTGTACATTCTACAAGATTGATGGACTGAACACATCGACTCCAGGTTGAGGGACTGATTACCTCATTCTCCTCCTCTCCTTACGCCTTCCTCTTTGTACTGGACTGATGAAGCCACTGTGTGGCGAAACGTTTCCTGAATAAAGATTCCCATATGCTGCATAAGTGTCTCAATCTTCAATTCCTGGTTTGCCTATGCGGTAATCCGGCCCTGAATACTACCACTAGTATTATGACTACTATCACTAGTATTACAATTACTACACCTCACTCTAAGCCTATATATACCCTCTGTGTCCTTGTATTGTTTGTAACGGTTTGATAATGCTCCTGGAGAGCGAAACGTTGCCACAATACAATGTCACATAAGTTGCACTTGTGTCCTTTTACCCAACATATTGTCGGTAATTCTACCAACGTTAATGCATTAAAATGGTATAAAATACCGACAGGTTGTTAGGTAAGACACATATGCAACAGTTAGGTATGTTTATTTCGAAACGTTTCGCCTACACAGTAGGCTTCTTCAGTCGAGTTTTGAGGTGGTCAGTCCCTCAGTCTGGAGAAGAGCATTGTTCCATAGTCTGAAACAATATGGAGTTGAAGTGACAGGATGGAGCCTTAAATAGCGCCAGGAGGTGAGACGTAGGTCACTAGTAGAACGAAGATGTTGGGAGGTCAGGTCCCTCTCAAATCCAGCCGTTCTCACTAGTAGAGGCTGTCGAAGTTGATTTCAGGTCTGTACCAAGATACCCTTGTGTTGCAGTGTCTGACAGATTGAACATTAAAATGGTATAAAATACCGACAGGTTTTTAGGTAAGACACATATGCAACAGTTAGGTATCTTTATTTCGAAACGTTTCGCCTACACAGTAGGCTCCATCCTGTCACTTCAACTCCATATTGTTTCGGACTATGGAACAATGCTCTTCTCCAGACTGAGGGACTGACCACCTCAAAACTTTAAGGGTGATGGACTGATTACATCGTCTTTAAGTCTCTTCTGCTTCTATCAACTTTTCTGTACTCGACTGAAGAAGCCTACTGTGTAGGCGAAACGTTTCGAAATAAAGATACCTAACTGTTGCATATGTGTCTTACCTAAAAACGTTAATACAGCCCTTTTGATGTCTAGTTTCTAGACCTTAAGTGGATCCACATGTTCTTACGGTACCGTCCACAGGATGGATATTAGATACACAATATACCAGTCGTTACGGAGGCGTCTGTAGCTCGACTACATGAGTAACTTTTTTTTAAGTAGCAATTACTGCCCAAGGTTCCAGGATGCTTGTGGCTGCCATTTACAACCCGCCACCAAATAGCATTTAAACCTAGACACGAGTATGCGAGAGTCAGTGTAGCAACATCGTTGAAAAAACAACTTAGAGTTGAACTGGAAATAAATGGTATAAAATA